CAAATGCAATTAGAGAGCGATAAACAATATGATAGTAAAATATGTGGACTAACTCAAAACCCAAACACAAATGAATATATGTTGGTGATTGATGAATTTAGATCTAAAAGGGATAAAGATAAAGGAAAATGTTCATTTTGTAATCGATATAACACTTCATATGCCTGGTGTCGAACATGCGACCCTCAGAAAATTATACAGAGTTGGACAAGCGGAAATAAGAATGTTGATGATTGCATTAAAGCATATCAACTTGAAGCTGAAGATCATGGAAGTGTGATTGAATGGATTCCTTTTGATAGATTAGATAATATTCAAAAAAATAATTATGGATTCTTAGCAACTTGGTTAGATGGTACACGATATGTACTTAAGACTGATGATCAATGGATGCAGTTACGTACATCACCATGCATAGTAGAACTTAAAAAATTAATAAGTTCCCAAAATTTGTTAGATATTTTAAAAGAAGTAAGTTACATAATTATTATGTATAATTATGACAATTATGGCATATGTTTTATTTATACATTTTATATCGTATAAGTTTAAAAATACTATGCAATCAGAAGATAATAAGTTATACGGTGATTGTAAAATATATGGACTAACTCACAACACAACTACGAATGAATATATGTTAGTATTTGATAGCTTTGGATACAGAAGAGATGATTGGAAGGGAGAATGTTCTTGTTGTAACCGATATAACACTCCTGAAGCCTGGTGCCAAACATGTGATCCTCAGAAAACAACACAAGGATGGACTAGTGGGAATGAAGATATAGATAATTGCATTAAAGAATTTCAACTTAATGCTAAACAATATATTAATGTTGTCGAGTGGATTCCTTTTAATAGATTAGATAATATTCAAAAATTTGGGGATAAAGTTTTAGCAACTTGGTTAGATGGTATACGATTAGTTATAGGTAAAGCTGGAGAATATACACAGTCACGTACACCTCCATATGCAGTAGATCTTGAAACATTAACTAATTCACAGGATATATTAGATATTTTAAAAGAAGTAAGTTATATAATTTATTGTATATAGTTTGATTTAATAATAATGCGAATTCTGTTTATATATTTTATATTTGTATATATTTTGTAAGTTTAAAAAACATGTGGAATTAGATGAAAGAATATCAGGTGTTAAAATATATGGACTAACTCAAGATCAGATCACAAATGAATATATGTTAGTATTTGATGAATTCGGATATAAAAGGAATAAATATAACGGAAAATGTTCATACTGTAATCGAGACAACACATTTAATGTTTGGTGTCAAACGTGTGATCCTTATAAAGCCACTCAAGGTTGGACAAGTGGAAATAAGGATGTTGATGATTGTATTAAAGAATTCCAACTTAAAGCCAAATCTTATAGTAGTGTAATTGAGTGGGTTCCTTTCAATAGACTAGATAATATTCAAAAGAATGGTGATGGATTTTTTGCGACCTGTTAGATGGTGCACGAATTTTTATGTATGATAAAGATAAAGGTGAGGACATAAGATCACGTATACCATACAAAGTGGAGCTTAAAATATTACAAGGTCCTCAAGATTCCTTAGAATTTTTGTATGAAGTAAGCTGCAATTTGATTATTATTTATTGTAAAAGATTTGTTTGATTGTTTGATTAATACTATATAATTATAAATTATATAAGTTTAAGAAATATATGAAATTATATGGAAAGTCCCCTGAATTTTTAAACGTATATGGGTTAACTCAAAATACTGAAACAAAAGAATATATGTTAGTATATGATTTTGATAGAGCTGCGAATAATGGTAAATGTTCAAATTGCAACCGAAATAACACTTCTAAAGCTTGGTGTCGAACATGTGATCCTCTAAAAATAGCACAAGGATTTACAAGTGGAAATAAGGATGTTGATGATTGTATTAAAGAATTTCAACTTAAAACCACAAAATATGAGAATGTGATCGAATGGATTCCTTTTAATAGATTAGATAATATTCAAAAGATTGGTAATGAATTTATAGCAACTTGGTTAGATGGTATACGGTTAGTTTTAGGTGCAATTGGAGAATATACACAATCACGCACCAAACCATGTAAAATGAAACTTAAAATATTATCTAATTCACAGAATTCAACAGATTTTTTAAAAGAAGTAAGTTGAATTTGTTTTGTTATTACTGCTTATATTTTTGTTCTACTTAGAGACATAATTATTTATTTATTTATTTAAGTTTAAAGATCTTATGCGATCAAAGAATGACCTTAAAATATATGGTCTAACTAAAGACACTGTAATGAATGAGTATATTTTAGTATTTGATTTTAAACGAAATAAGAATAATGGAATATGTGCAACTTGTAACCGAGATAACACATCTGAAGCTTGGTGTCAGATATGTGATGTTCAGAAAATAATACAAGGATGGACAAGTGGAAATAAAGAAGTTGATGATTGTATTAAAGAATTTCAAGTTAAAAGCACAAATTATGAAAAAGTGATTGAATGGATCCCCTTTAATAGACTGGATAATGTTCAAAAAATAGGTGAAGGAGGATTTAGTTCAGTATATTCAGCAATATGGTTAGATGGTAAAAGAATCTTTTCAGGTGAAATTGGTAAATACATCCAATTACGCACTCCATCATGTGTAGTTGCACTCAAGACATTGCCTGGTTCACAAAAGAACTTTTTAAGAGAAGTAAGTTAAAGTAATTTAGTTGTGATTTTGATATAAATAAATTATTATTGATATCATGAATTTTATTTTATTTATTTAACTAGTTTAAAAATTATATGCAATGTAGATTAGGAGGTAGTGACCTTGAAGTGTATGGACTAACTCAAACTACAATTACTAATGAATATTTGATGGTATTTCAATATGCAAATAAAGGAAGTCTTCATAACTTCTTATCATTAAATTTTAAAGAACTTAAATGGGAAAATAAATTAAAGCAGCTTATGGATATATCAAAAAATTTAGCAATAATTCATAAAGCAGGATATATTCATAATGATTTTCATAGTGGTAATATATTGCAAAATCAATATATTGATGGAAACCTAATGACTTATATTACAGATCTGGGATTGACTAGAAATGAATCTGATTCTGAAGATGGAAGTTACGGTGTTTTACCTTATGTTGCACCAGAAGTGTTAAATAAAAAACCATATACGACAGCGGCAGACATTTATGGTTTGGGGATTATTATGACTGAAATGTCTACAGGAAAACCACCTTATTATAATATTATGTATGATGCAAATTTGGCTATTCAAATATGTAATGGATTGCGTCCTGAATTTGCTATAGGCACTCCTGAATGCTATATCCAATTGGCAAATCAATGTATGGATGCTATCCCTTCTAATAGACCAAATGCATCTAGTATTTATGATAAATTAAAAGAATGGTATATTATAGTCAGTAGTACCGCCATGGACGAGCACCAACTTGCAATATTAAGAGCATTCCAATCAGCCGATGCGATTATTTCAACATTATCAACAAAATTATCAACATATCCAAAAGATAAACTTACAAGTAAACTGCTTAATTTTAAAAACCTTTCTGAGCCAATTAATTGTTCATCTACAAAAAAATTGGTAAACATTTATGGTAATAAGATTAACTGCATACATTATACTTTTGCTTTTTATTGGTTCTATAATAATTTTTATAATTTTTCAGATAGCACTGCATTTAATTTTTCAATTCCTGATGACTATGATGATAACATTCCAGGTATACTGTATATTTAATTTTTAATTTATTGGTCTCTAATAAAATGGTTACTTATCTATTTAAATACTTTTACATTTTAAGCTAACGATGAAGCATCATGAATAAATATATGAATTTTATTTCATCGGAATTTTGGTAAATGTGTTAAATGGTTATGGCTATGAATTTAAGAAGAATTTTATTTAATCATTAAACTGTTAACAATAAAATTAACAGAATTTGTAGTTGCACTATTTTGATAAACTATTAGCTTCTTCCTGATTATACTATTTTTTGATTTTAGAATTAATGTAGTATAGGCGACATTTAAGAAAGACTAATATCACAGTTTCTTTCAATAAATAACAATTTTTTGCTTATAATACCATCTTTATTAAAAGTATTACATTAGCAATGTTGAAAATAATATATTTAAAGTAAGTTAAAAATATTCTAATAAAATTAATTAATTTTATAAAAGAAATATTACCTAAATGACTAAGTTGGTCATCAGACCATTTTAAATTTATAATAGATAAAAGTTTGAATCGTCTGCTAAACTAAGTTGCATCTCAAAGTGATGTGATAAGTTTTTAGTTTGTTCAATAAAATCTGTTGATTCTTTATCATTATTTCATACATTTAATGTGTCATATATCTCTTTAGAAGATGGTCTCTTATCTGGTTGAGCACATCGACATTATCAATTAATTCATTAACTACCCTTGGTACATGTGTTGGAATTTTGGGGCGCAAACCATGATAAATCACACGAGCAAGTATGATATTGGTACGGAACATCATGAAATAACAAAGTTTCTGAACCATTTCATAGATAATAACACCGAAAGAATATATATCAGATGCTTTACTATATTGTCTATTATACAATAATTCAGGTGCTATATATGGCAAAGCACCAAATTTTCATTTTCGATTTCTAAATTAGATGTAATTGAGAGCCCTAAGTCTGCAATATATCCACTAAAATACAGTAATTCGTCTTGTAAAATATTTTCGCTATGCAAATCTCGGTAAATCAAATCTTCGAAATGAATTGCTTGAAGGTCCGCGGTAATGCATAGAAAAGATTCAATTTAGCTTTCCATTCAGGTTTGCTACTAAATGAAGATTTTTTAGCAAAGAAACTTTCAATGTGTCTTTCATAGCGAGTATATAATTTTTTCAAAATGCAGGGTTTTTATAGCCAATACCACAAAATGCATTCACTTCAAAATAAAATAGTTAATAAACCATTTTAATTATAAATATATCAAATATACAGCAATATTGCCTCTTTGATAAATTCTTCATGATTTTGTAAATTATTTAATAACTTAATTACAACAGGTTTATCGGCGGTTTCTTCTTCATCAATCCAGATAGCAGATAATACCGTTGAAAATCCATGGTGTCCTATCAGTTTACTTACCTTAAACTTGCCATATGGGATCTATAATAATGGGATTTATTTTCATCTAACATCTTTTTATTTCATCATCAACGGTGTTGCTTTCATACTTCTGCTAATTACAATCTGATATACTGAAATATTATTAGATTTTAATCATTTAATGTAATTAATTAATAAATAACCTTTTGATAAAGAATTATATGTAATAAAAATTTTATATTAATAAAAATTATGAAATTAACTTTCATTATGATTGTATAGTGCATGATAATAGCAATAATTTACTATAAAAAATATATCGATATACCCTACTTTTGATACCAATAGTTGGCTTTTAAATTTTTTGCTAACTTGAAACATTGCGGTAAGATATCCCATCTCAGCAGATTTCTTAAAATATATAAATACTTTATCCTTTTCAACTTTAATTCCGTAAATATAGCAACAACCTACTACGTATAAACCATCAAAATTTCCAAAGTCTTATAACAAGTAATTGTTTTTTGATCATCTTTTTCAACTCCAATTCCTTCTGGATAACAATAACCAGGATTATATGCTCGATAATGACACCTCTTTTCAGCGGACTTTTGATACCAAATAAATGCATTATGTTCATTTTTTCGACAATAATTCCATCTCGGTAGAAATTAAAAGGTTATTCATTCCTTCAGCATTCCCCATATTAGCAGATTTTGATAGTAAGTGAATGCTTTATGTACATCCTTTTCAACCAAATTCCATCTTGATAGCAATATCCAACACAATCTATTCCATCAATAAATCCTATATCTGCAGATTTTTTGATATTTAAATGCAATAGTATCATTCTTTTCAATTCCAATGGCATTTTGATAACAGAGTCCAATACGGAAGGCTCCAACAGCATATTCCATATCAACAGATTTTTGAAAATAAATAAAAGCTTTATGCAAATCCTTTTTAACCCAATTTCATTTTGATAGCAATGTCAAACATTAAAAATTCCAATGATATTTTTCATAGCAGCCGATTTTTGATAATAAATAAATAATGTCCTTTTCAATACCAATTCCATTTTTATAACAATTATCTGTTTGAAGTATTCCTTCAGCATCCCCCATTTTAGCGGATTTCTGGTAATAAATAAAAGCTTCATTTTCATCTTTTTTGACTCCAATTATATTTTTATAGCACTTGCTGACATCAAATATTCTACTAATATATTTTATGTTAGCTGATTTTTGATAATAGTTAAATGCTTCATATTTATTTTTTCAACCCCGTTATTATTACAACGATTTGTTTGAAGTATTCCTTTAGCATCTACATTTCAGCAAAGTTTTGGTAATAAATGAATGCTTTATATTTAATTTTTTTTTAATACCGATTCCATTTCCATAACAGTTTCCAACATTAAATATTCTATTAATATCTTTTATTTCAGCAAATTTTTAGTAATAAGTGAACATTGATTTTGATGAATTTCAACTTTAACCCTATTATAATAACAATATCTAACATTAAATATTCTATTAGCATTTCTTTTATTGACAGATTTTTGATAAAACATGAAAGCTTTATATTCATCTTTCTTAATTCCAATCTAATAAGATTATATATATTAGTACTCAAAAAGGTGTTGGATTTGACAAGTACTAGGGGTAAGTATTATTTTATTAATTGTATTGCAAGACCTTCCTTTTTCTTTTTACATTTGAGCATATTATTTATATATATTTTTCTTTTTTTACTAAATATATCAAATATACTAATTATGTTATATTTGTCAACTACACTAATTACACTGTATTTACTAACTATACTAATTATGTTATATTTACTAATTATATTAATTATTTTATATTTGCTAATTGCATTATATATGTTATATCTACTAATTATAATATATATGTTATTATCTATTAATTACATTATATAATTAATCTTTAATAATTTATAAATAATTCTATTTTAGATCATAACAATATATTCTTTTAATATAATTTTAATTCTTAGATATTTTGTGATAAATAAATATTTTATATTTATTTTTTTAAAAACTAATTCAATTTTAATAATAGTTACAAAAATATTGTATTTTACTAGTATTACTTATATAAGTAGATTTTGAAAATTAATTAATAATATTTTTATGTTTTTGATTATTTTTTATTAAAATTTAATTTATTTGTTTAATTTTTTCTAATAATTCTCTGATCAATAACAACAGAAAATTAAATTATAAAAAAACATTATAGCAAAATATAAAATGACAATATTTCTAGTTTTATATAAAGTAATTATTTGTTAACAAAATTAAAAAATATAAAATATTAAAAAATAAACATATTTATAGTAATTTAAAGAAAATCAAATTTTTTAAATAAACTTTTTTTTTATTTGATATCTAAATCAGAAGATTATTTTAGAAAATATAATAAACTTTTTATTAATACTATTAAAAATTTAAAAAACTATTATATAATTATAAAACCTATATAAAAACCTTATATAAATTTTATTACTTTTATTGTTCTTCAAGAAAAATTTTGTAAACTTAGATAATCTAACTTATTTATTTCAAAAATCAATATATAAAATTATTAAAACAATTAACTTTACAGAAACCTATTAATTTTTTGAAATATTTTTATTATATAAATATTATATAATTAATATTTATTAAGTTACT